TAGTCCTAGCTAGCCTGAAACTTGCTACATAGAGCAGGTATGGCTTCAAACTCTCAGATTCCTTGCCTCTGCACCCTACATGCTGGGGTTAAAGGTGTGCACCACCATATCTGGCTACCCCATTTTTTATGCAGTTATAAAAGTGCAAGTTGTTTTCCTCATTCTTTCATAAGTTCATCCCATACAATTGGATATAGAAAATTATATTGTTATTCACAGTGCTTTTGTTAGATGCGGATATAACGAAGCAGGTTTTAGGAAATATTAGTTGTCAGAGTAGTGGTCATGAAGAGAGACTGACTGAGTGGGTGGTGCTGCTGCCCTGTTCACTTGTTCACTTGGTTCTTCCACTTCCCACAGAAGCCACACCGTTAGACTGCATCAGACAGTGAGCATGCGTGTGTTGCTGGGTGGCTTTGGAGCTCTGTGTACCATAAACTGAAAGCATTTTAGGTTGTTGCCACATTTTAGTTCTTTTAGTCATTGTAAATTCTAAATGGTCAACATAAAATGTATTGGGTAGCAGAGTATATTTTTAATATGTATTTCTGAGTTACTACCTGGATTATCAGGATGTATGAAGCACTACAATCTCTTCCCAGGAAATATGGATATTTATATTTTGCATATGTATTCACTAGATTCCATTTTGTCTTATGAGCATTTTCCTTGCTTATGGGAAAAGTAACAGCAAAACAACAGCTTTCTTTTATAGCTTTGTCTACACCCTCTCTGAGAGAGGTTTTGATAACCACTAAAATGGTAGATTATGTGAGATGCAAATACTAAGTTGTGGAACTTCCTTTTAAAATGAGTATGTTGTACCTTAATCAACATCCAAATGAGAGCTGACTTTCAAAGCAGTTTTGTTTTGGAGCACTGTTTATTTTAACTATGTTGCAAAGTATGTTTCTAGAACTTTGTCATGTGTCATAGGTGCTTTGAGAGTTGGTTTATGACTACATAAGAGATCATTTTCATCTTTTTAGTTGCACAATAACAATTTTCAAAGCTAACAGAACCAACATTAATTACCAAAGCAAGTTCACAAACTTGGCTATTCTCTGAGAACCAAGCCAATGTGGTAATTAAGAGTATGTTGTAGGCTCTGGATCTTGGGAGAAGACTGCTATCAGTGACTGCGTCACAGCATAGAAGTTCCCTGATGTCACTATTGGAAATAGAAACCATCATTTACATGTGAAAACATTGTAAAAAAGAAATTAAATATAATTACTTTGAATTTAAATAGAATTTTTAAACTAAGGTCTTTCTCTAGAACTTGCTTTCTGTTCCCCCCCCCTTATCTTTTAAAACTTTCGAATTATGTAGGATAGTTTTGATTGAGAAGATAGTATGAGAAAGTGGATCCAGTACTTAAAACAGCAGTTTAAAGAAACAAAGCCTTTTTACCTCTGCTGTGTTCTGTTTTATTTTAAACAAGTCTTTCTTTCAATCTGACTTTAATTGAAGACTGGAGGTTGATGTATAGGAAAAATTGGAATAAATTTTATTATAAATTATGCCATGTGTTACCTTAACCTATTGTGAATAGCATTTAAAATTATATAAGTACTCAGAATGTGTCATTTATAACATTAAATTTCGATTGAAAATATACTGGACCAAAAGTTTATTTGCAATGTGGAATATGATTACATATGAGGAAAACATCTTATTTTGAAGCTTTCTTGACATATTAAAGAATATACCACTTTTAACTCAGCTCAGTCTTGAAGTATTGCTCCTAATGGACTTTAGTATTATGGCTTTGCAGTAATCTAGAGACTTACCATAGGCACCACTGTTATCAGCATGATCATCTGTGAGTGATAAATAGAGGTTTGTGTCAAGATTTAATAAGAAAGTTCAAAACGAACAACAGACATGCAACAGGATTCTGAATGCAGATGATCTGAATTTTTAAGGCTTTCAGAAGTTGATCTGTGAGAATTCATTTGAAGAATAAGACTGCGTGATCTCTGTCTACTACTCATATAGTTGGACTTATTCATATTCTCACAAAAGAGAAAAAAAATGCAAATTAAATTGGGCCCTCAGTTTTTATAATTGTGGTACAAGTTCCTGGTACAGGTGTCTTCCCTCCCTCCCTCCCTCCCTCCCTCCCTCCCTCTCTCCCTCCCTTCCTCCCTCTTCTTTCTCTCCTTCTTTTGCATGTATTGCTACACAGTTCTCAAACATGCAGTAAGTGAGATCACTGGCCTTGACAGATTTGTGTTTTCCACTCTGCATCTGTTGTGTACACCGATCACATGCACTCAAGGCTGACTTTACAGCTTGTCATTGTTACTAGTTCTGAAGTATTGTTGACATACAGGTTTTCTTTTGTTTGCTTGACAGGTTTCTTTATGTCACCAAAGTTCTAGTTATTGGTGATGTAAAGTGACAGTTTCCTAATTTCTCTTTCATAATTATTCTTTTTTTTTTTTTTTTTCCGAAACAGGGTTTCTCTGTAACTTTGGTGCCTGCCTGGAACTAGCTCTTGTAGACCAGGCTGGCCTCAAACTCACAGAGATCCGTCTGCCTCTGCCTCTCAAGTGCTGGGATTAAAGGCGTGTGCCACCACCGCCTGGCTCATAATTATTATTATTATAAGTGGATATTTCTTCTAGTTTTGCACAAATTTGTGTTTTTTGTTTCTGAAAATAGTATAGGTTGTAAAATCTATTAGTGCATTTTTATTTCAGAACATTTTTCTCCTAAAATTGTTTTGCAGAAATGACTATTTTTAGGGAAAATAGTTTTTTACAGCTACTAAATTTTGTTTGTTATTTTTGTATATGCATAACCAGGGTGGTGAAATCACTAATATTTTAGGGAAGACTTTTGTTCTATTTGATTTTTTTCCTATACATTTAAGATATTACTTAAAAGTATTGGTAGAAATAATGTCATGAAAACAGTAAATATAAGGAACATTTAAAGTCAGAGTAGAAATCATTTTTCAAGACAAAGATCAGAAATACTACCAGTACCAAGTAATGGAAGCAAAAGGGCAGCATTTGCATTGTGCACTTGCTTTAGTATGCATGGAGACAGAGTCTGTTCTCATGAGGGACAGGTTCTCTACTGGGCAATTAGATGGGACAAAATATGGTCTAAAATATGAAATACAGCGTGGGTGCCATGTTGTAAATTGTGCCAAGGTTATACAAATTGTAGCTATTGATCAAAGTTTAATTGCTTCATTGTTATTTTAAAGGAAATACTGAATGTCAGAAAATCTGTAATATTTGAGAAATGTAAATAATGTATACAGTCTTATATGTGGTGGAATGGGAGGTATTTAAATTCTAAGTTTTTCTTTTTTTTTAAAAAAAAAAGGAAGAAAATGTTTATAAGGAAAAAAAACCCTAATAAATAGTTATGTTTGACCATGAATCCTGACTTCACATTACTGTTTATTTTTACTGTAGGTATTTCTACACTATCACATTTCAAAGGGAAATTAAGGTATATAGAGCATATTGAATGTCTCAAAATTTGTTAGGCAGTACTTTCTGTAATTCTCACAATACAGGAAGTTACCATCTGTATACCTTACATTTTAGAAAACTAAAGTTAAGGAATTGTACACGTTATTGGGTCTAGGGCTTATATGCTTGAATTTAAAACTGATGTTTTCTTTAGTATGTACTTTTGCTGTGAAAAGATAGCAAAATAATGAAATATTTGTGAACCTTTCTACTGAATTAAGAAAATGCACTTTGTTTAGTTGTGAGTTTGTTTTTGTTCCATCTCCTGCAGGGGAAGTTGAATGCTGACTGAATGAGACAGGGACCTATGGGTCCATTAGCAGAACAGTATTTGGATTTCCTGTAGGTCCCTGGCCTTGCTAGTCTCAGGCCACCCTAGCAGTGTTAGGGAGTGGGCCGTAAATTCAGTCAGTCCACAGACACACTTTTAAATTTCTGCTCTTTAAGTTTTAAAAGGGGAATTGGGGGGCGGGGGGGAGACGACGACGACATTACCTGCTCCTTTTTGTACCTTTGGTCTTTTGGATGCTCCACCTGGTTCCCTCGTCTCCCCCCTTATGCCTTTTCTTTTCTCTTATGGCCCAGTTCAGTCTGGTCATGTCCACTCTGGACTCTCCCAGATGTTCCTGCTTCTACCTATGCTGTCCCTTTTATCTAAATTTATCAAAATAAATTTTCTCCACCATACCTAGGGGTAGTCCTGTCCTTCGGTCACTCACGGCACTTCTTTTCATTCCCGGCCCTAAAGTGGGATTAGCACTGGGTCACTGGTTAACGAAAAACCTCTTAACAGTGCGGGACAGCTACACGCTTCCTGTAGAGACACCTACTGAGGCTCCTCAGTTTGAATTTTCTACTTCCTACTTTTCTTTCCAGCCGAGTTCTAACCTCCCAGCCTGACACGGGGAGAAGGACTCACACTGTAAAGCCCACCCCCTGCCGTCGAATGAGCTCATCGCGCAAGCCCCGCCCCTGCCCTCCGACGAGCTCGCAGCGCAAGGCCCGCCCCCTGCCCCCAGCGCCCCGGGGCGCCTGGCTGCCCGGGTGGTGCAACACTCCCGGCACCGCGGGCTGGAGAGGGAGAGGCGTGGAGGGTG